AATGCTTCCATCGTGCAAATTGATAACCTTTGGTTGTTTTCGAGGTTTTTAAAATTCTCTATGGGCTTATAAAAATATTGGTGTTGTAAGAACCAGTCCGACAGTCGAAGCAGAAGAAAAAATTTAACAATCGGGAATCAAGTATCATACTTGGGTGCCCATAAACAAATTTTAGTGAACAAATTTAAAAAGGAATGATCGATTCGCATGAGCAAGTTTGACAACTGGTAGAGTTGCTGTCATAAGTTTCACATTACAAATCCCGAGCGAGGTAAAAGCTCAAGAATATTCTCACAAATGCAATATGTGCAATATGAAGAGCAATCCGAGTTCAACTCTCTCACGTACAACTCTTTATCTCTTAGGGTTGAGCCTCTCCTTACAAACTCAAATGGGAGAGTAATTGTAATCTCTCTCATCCTCTCTCTCTCTCTCTCAAGAGGAGCTCTCATATGTTTTGTCGTGTATGTAGAGAGACCTTTACCCCTCTTTTTTTTTATAACGAGAAGAATGCCTCCCTTATTCATGTGGAAGTAACCCCTCATGAATGGATACTATGAGAATGCAGAGTGTATGTCACTCATGGGGGAGTAAACCTCTAATGAATAGGTATAATCTCTGTCCACCTACTTCTCATGAAGAGAAAGTAACACTCTTCATGAAAAGGTGGGCCCTCCCACAGTTGACACACCTTCATGTCTACATATCCTACTCGTCCCGTCTGTAGGAGGGGTTATACACCCAAATAACAATTAACCATAATTGAAATTAAAACCCTACTTTGAGTTTGCTTTATTCCCAAATTAAAGTTAACCATAAACCCATATTACAATGAACTAAGATTACGATTTTCTCTATCAGCATCAATGGAATTGCAATGGTGGGGATAAAAGAGAGAGAGAGAGAGAGAGAGCAATTAGGTCAGTAAACATATAAGATTTCCAACTAAAATACAAAAATCAACTACTAAAATAATTCAAAAGTGTACTAAAATATATATCAATAGATAATATAATAAACAATGTTTAGAAGATCGACTCAGGCCACGTATTCACCACCGGCTCGAGGCGACTTTCTAGAGGGAGTTTGAGTGGACTTGGCCAAATCAAGCCCATAGTCTAGCTAGAAACCCCAAAAAAGTTTAAAATCATCGTTTAATCATAATCCGGACAAGCTACCAATATGACTATATCGGACTCAACTTCTTCCCTACCACTTGTTCAACGAGTTGTTCAATAGATTATTTTTATTTTTAGTTCGATAGTAGGAATCGAACATGACATGTAACATTGCTAAAATCAATTGCTAATCACTTAAACCCAACCCGATTTATAAGTCCAACAGATTTTCTAAGTAGTAATTTACCACAAGTCACAACCAAGAAATTATAGAAGCATATCATTGCACAAAGAAAAGAGTTCAAAAAGTGCTCTAAATCAATTTCCCCTTGCTCTCTCCCCCATTAGCCACTCATTTAATAAGATAGATTTGTAGTTTTAAGACCGGATAGGATCATCTCATCATATCGGCGCCTTGGTCATCTGATCAAAAGGCAAAAATCTAGTTTTGCCAAAAGTATGTTAAAATCAATGTTTTCTCGCTTTTAGTCAGTCGAACTGCCCAATTTTGGTCAGTTCAACTAGCTAAACAAAATTGAGAATTTTTTTTTTAATATATTTCATATTTTAAAAGTCTTATTTTTATTTTTTAATATATTTTAAAAATCTAAAATTCGAATTAGTTTTGATTCGACTAAACTCCTCGTGACAATCTGAACACAATAATGTGATTTAAAAAGCATAACAAAGGATGCCCACTTCCCATATCAGTTTTATTGGGGTTGGACCACATATTTAGGTGCCGGGACGAGACCATGTATTTCCTTTTTTAAGATGTATGACATGTTAGTACATTGTTATGGCAATTAGAACGGGCACTATCAAGATTATCAAAACCTCATTGGACTGGTCCAACTTGTTCACCTCCTAACCGGTGCCTCTGTTGGTTTCCTTTATAGAAAAATTGGGTTTGGTCAAAAACTAATTATAATTAATTTTTTTTATCAAAACAATTGTTTGACTAATTTTTTTCGATTCGACCGACTCATATTTTTTTGTTGTTTGTACTAAATAAACATGATTGGACAACTCTTTTTAAATATATTTTATGATTTAAATTATTATTCTAATTTTTATATAGATAAAAGCAAATCTGACCCTATCAGTTTGACCGCAGCCAAAACCGATTTTGACTAAATTGGACCACTTAAACGATTTAATAGCCCTTTTCTGACACTAATTAGAACAGCCAGAATTACACAGAATATCAAAAAATAAAATATTTGGAAAGAAATGCAGTTTCACCTATGAAATACAGTTTCAGTTATTATTGGGCACCATTAAAACAAGGACCCGGTTTCTATGAAGCCAAGCCTGCATAAATAGAAATGCAGGCATCATAATAAATCTATTTTTGAAATAGATTTTAAGACTTAATTTTTAAAGGCATGTAATCTCTAACATGGAGATCATGAATATCAAAAAATAAATAAATTTTAAAAACTAGAAATAATAATTCTAGTAAAAAAACATTTAGACTGTTACTTTCCATTGTTTTTAGATGGAACACCTATTTACATGCATCTTTAAGATGGATGCTTTATATTTTCTGGACCACACATGTAAAAATGTGGTCCAGCCTACATGATGGGCTCTATTGCACATTCCATGATTATCCTGAAATGACTATTCTGCCCCATGTTAACAACATTAACATATTTCTGTTTGCTGATAATGGTAAGGAAAGGAAAGGAGAAAGTGAACAGGGTTCTTTTGTGAATGATAGGAATAAACGATGTTGCAGTCATATAACCAACTCAACAAATTCAAAATTCTGCTGAATAAGTCATGCTTTTTTTAATGTTGCTAAATAATACATGTTTTCTTCATAATTAAGGGCGCGCGTTCTATAACTAGAAGCTGGATGTTTTATAGGTATGGAATTCTAATTCTCTTGAAGTTGGAACTGCTGATACATGGACGTTTAGGATTTTTATTTTTGGGTGAGTCGGAAGAGGGCCCCTGCCTTTGATAGAAATTAAGCCTAGGCCGTGGCATTGCAAATCGTCAAGCGTTAACCAATTAAACCAAAACGAATATTTGGTTGATAGCATATCTAGAAGTTATCAAATATGTAGAACTGACTTTGCAGTGATATGGCAAAGCTTTACAACCGTTGGCTTCATACAAAGAACCAAAGAAAGAAAGGGCAAGGGAGAGAAAAAACTTAAGAGTGGGACAAAAAAGATATGATTAAAGGGTAAGTTTTTTACGCTTTTCTTACAGCATAAAACTTATATATTTCTCCTTATCCAACCCTCCATTCTGAATGGAGGACTAAGATTGCCCCAATCACAACGTTACATCTATACACGATGTTATTTTAAAATTTTTATTTACTATAAACTATTTTGACACCAAATTTTGGACGTCCAATCCTCTATTAAACTCGCACTAGCGAAAAATATTTCCAATAAAATAAAATGAACAAAATACCCCTGAAAATTTTAAGGGGTATTTTGGTCATTATATTTTATCAAAAAATTATTTTTAATATTTTTAATAGGTGCGTCCCAATAAGAAGATGGCACATGCCAAATTTTATATTCATACAAATTGTATAATAAAAAAAAAAAACTAAAAATAAAATAACATCGGATCTAAGATCAAATGGTGAGTGGCTCTCATGATCAACATTGGACAGCTGGATGGTAGGGAAAGCATAGATCTTCTATGCTATAAGGGAAGTATCAAAACCTTTCCCATGATTAAATAGAGAAAAATTACATTTGGAGAGAGGACTTTTAGAAAGAGAGAAGGCATAATTAAAGAGAAAGGCATGATCAAAGAAAAGAGAGAGAAAGAACAAGATGAGAGAGAAAAATATATAAAAAAAACATATTTAAAAAGAAAAGTATATAATGATATTATTTATCTTTAGTACAAGAAAGTAACAATTAATCCTAACCATCGGATGTGAAATTAGATGACTGCATGTCTTCCATTGACCAAGCTTAAACTTTTAAATAAATTTTTTTAAACTTTGTGAAACACCGAAACTATCAAATTTCACATCGGATAGATGATTGTAAGTAATTGTAACCTCTTTATATTAAAAGTAAATGGTCTCATTGTATACGATCCCTCTTTAGAAAGAATAAGAAATTGAAGAGATTGCAAACAATTACAGAGAAGTTGGAGAGTAATAAGCATAGTTTTAGAGAAGATTTAGGAAGGGCGAGAAAGCGATTTGAAAGAGAAAGAAGTTGGAGAGAATGGTCAACTGGATATGACGTTAGGTCAAATGAGTTAATGGGAACCGGGTCAGCTGCTGCTGCTGCTACATGAAGAGCAAAAAAAAAGAGAGAGAGAGACAAACCACTTAAAAATATGTGGACTTCTATGGGGATTGGAAAGTACAAGTTCTCATTTTTTGACAACTTAAGATCTTCCCAAAACTAGTTTCCTGTAACATATCCTGATAAGAAACAAGAAAGTACTACAATAAATTGGAACTTCAGCTTCTAGAGTTGAAAATTCCATTTATCAACATGCCCTACATATAATTTATCATGTGGATGTCATATAACCCAAAGTTGTTCCATGAAATTACCTCCTCACAATTGCTGGTTTTTAAATCGCCAGTTTGTAATGGATGGTTCAAATGCTTCCAAATTTTGCCATCATTCTTTTCTAGGGTAGTTCAAAGTAGGATTCGAACTTCAGATATAGTGTTGCAATCATCAAAATCATGAGTTCATAACCAATCAAGCCTAAGCTCGAGTTCTTGGTATCAAGCTCTTTAAAGACGAGTTTTCAGACATTACAAAGTGGGCTATGCGGACAAATCTAAGGACAAACAATAAAAAGAACAAATACTGAAATATTTAAGGTGTCATGACAGTAATGGCAGTTCAGAGAGAGAGAGAGCACAACAGAAGCTTTGTAAGGTACACCCAAATTTACTTGATAATGCAGTTAGTTATGATTGACACTTCATTTAATATACACGAAAAAGGCACACAAGAGTTTACACATGCTCACATCTAAGCAACAGAATTGGATAATTTGCTACCAGATGGCTTTAGCCATACTATATAGCAGCTTCTAATGTTCTTACAGGTCAAACTCAGCTGTAGCTTTATTATAGGAAAGCACAACAATTCCAGAAACTGCCACAAGAGAAGGTGAGTTTTGCCCCTACCGACCTGGGCAGCCAGGATAAATTATCGCAACCTGCCTCCTCCAAAGAGAGAGACTACCTTCTCTAAAGGCAAGTGCCTTAAAAACATCCTGGGGAAAACCATCCAACGGTTGTTGCTGAGACCTCGATACTGTACATTAGGCGGTTCTATAAAACGCACAGACAGAGAAAGCTTAGCAAAAATAGAGGTGTGGGTTCAACCCTGACCAAAAAACGAGCAGGTGATCCCATCACCATATTAGAGATATGGAGTGTTGTTCTTGGCTCATGCTTTACATACACAAGAGGGTGGAGAAGTTCATGGAGACATAGCATCAAAAGTGGCAACATTATGTGTTCCTGACTCATCCATAACTGACTTCCCTGATTCATTTGTAGTTGATTCACCTGACAAAATGATGAGATTTTAATCAAAAGAATGATTCCCAAAAAAATAAAGGGGTTTAAAAAGAGGTGGTGAACTATCAGAAAGTTATCCTTTTTCTTTCAATGAGGTTTCTTGAGAATATTTGGAAATAGTGAGAAGTTATAGGAACACATATGGATTAGCATGCTATGGAAAATCATAGTCCACTGGGGACATCACCATCTAATGAAATAGTGTATAGTAATGGGCAATGTCCTGAAATGGCAGACAGTGATGGAGGGAGAGTGGGAACCACCATAAGGGCCATGCCATGTTCTGACTTCTCACGCTCCATTTCTGCCAATTTTGTGGAGTGGCAATGAACCCAATGGACTATAATTTAGAAAGTTTATTTATTCATCGTATACTTTTCGTAGGAATAGTTATGCTCAGAATTGCTATTAATTCTAGAGTTTTCGTAGATACCAAAGAGTGAACTGATCAATGGCCGCTTAGGTGATGCACTCCTCCTTACATCTACAGATAGGAAAATTGAACAGATCATAAGGGGGACGCCATATCCGAAAAAGAGGCTAACTAACGAGTAACAATCATTATTTTAAATCTGACAACAATGAGAAGGAAATAGAAATCTTCATAGTTATTGAAATACATATTTGAAATTGAAATGGCATAGACATTCATCCTATGGAGACACAGCATATTCAAAGCAGGTCTGAAGCAGTCACTTTAGTTTGTCTCTCCCAAATGAAACAACCACACAAAAAGCACGAAACCAATTTTTAAGTTTCAGAACAAAATGCTTACCTACAGTTGGATGTAGCCCTTTGACAGCATCAAAGTTCTTGTACGTATACCCAACGAAATTTAAATCTTTGGGAGTCAACAGCGTCTACACATCAGGGTACATAGTAATGAGTCATCTTTTCTTTGTTTGTTATTTCATTGCGAATTCAAAGAAAGAAGGTAAACACCAAGTTGTACTGAAGAAGAGTACATACAAATGGAGAACAATACAGCTAGGGTAGAAGGGAGAACAGAAAGTGGAGGGGACTAATCGATAGATGAATCTATTGAATCTACAAAATGAGTCTATCAAATGACACAAATTGTATTGCTTGCCTATCCCCTCATCAATTCAAATGATACATCAATTCGGAAAGATACTATACCTTCCTCCATGGTCCAGATCCAGTTCTCGGGGGAGGATCCAACTACAAGTACATAAAGAAAACCATTTGATTAGTAGCCACCTTAGAAGATTTTGATGCTTAGAATTAGAAATTTATTTCCAGGTGAAACCTTCAAAAATATTCCAACGAAATCCAGGACATTTGAGATGTTAGGTACATTAATCCAATGTACTATGGCATGACAACCCTCCATGAAGTGATGGATGTTGATAGAGAATGAGACTCACCACTAGGATCATGTCCTGTATGCTGGGTCCCACTCTCTCCACTATAGCAAAAGACAAGGCATATCTACCCACTATAGCAAAAGACCCACACCTTCATGAAACAAAAACCAAGCCTAGTATCTCTGAAATATCTATGATCTTCTACAATACAAAAACAATTTCATATCATGATCCTTCTAACATAAGAAGAGCCAAAAAGTAATCTGCAAACATTACCACCCCAGCTCTTTCAGGTGGTTTCCAGTTTGGCAGCTTTGGCCAAGGAGGAAATACATCATACTTGTAGTACATGGGAGAGAGACAGGATTGCACAATGTGCAAAGCATACCTCATCAAATTTCAGAAAATTCTGAGTATCAAGCTCCCCATTAACCTCTGGCTTAAATGCTGCCTCCATTTCATAGAGTTTGTCCCATACAACTCCTATGAACCAAGGATGTGCCTGTATGTGATCACACAATGACATTCTGAAAAAAGGTCCATATAAAACTGCAATGAACAAATGGACTAAAGAGAAATCGTAACACATTGGGTCAATCACAGTCTACTAAAATGATGGCTGGTGATGGAGAAAGAGTGGGACCCACCAGACCAGTAATGGTATCCAACTCACCCTCCATCAGCATCTATTTCAATACAGTTATGATGAATTTGACCATGATCTTTTACATGGCCCATTGGATTATAGCTTACTTTCCATAAGTTTTATCCCGCACCCTCTCCTCCCCCCCCCCCCCCCCCCCCCTTCCCCCCAAAAAAAACGAAAAAGAAAACGCAACAAAAAGACACCAAAAGTACACGCTCTTGTTACCCAAAAAAGAAAAAAAAAAGTGCAACAAAAAGACACCAAAGATACATGCTCTTTTTAGCTCCCCCCCCCCCCCACCCCAAAAAAAAAAAAGTGCAACATAAAGACACCAAAAATACATGCTCTTTTTATTAAAATTGCATCACCATACTTTTATCTCATCTCCAGAACCAAGCCTATGGTCAACATCACATAGCAACCTACAGATAAGATCTTTTGCCTCTGGTGACAACCTTGCCTCTTCTGGAAATTTTAAGTAATGCCTCCAGTGAACAATCTGTCGTTCAGTGACATCAAGTGAGAAGAAATTTCAAATTCTGAGTTCAAAATAACAAGCATATGAAGTTGTGGTTAAGGGAAAAGGAGAGTGTTTTCTCCAACTAAGTGCTATTTGCATAAGGAGATATTTCATAACGCATATTCTAGAGGTTTAAATGAGAAGACAAATACCCAAAATCCAAGAAAACAACATCCCATAGGGACCGTACAGTAAATGGAACAATCAAGACCGAAAAAAAGTAGAACTCTTGTTGATACCTATAAGAAAAAAAGAAAATCTACCGTAACAAACAAAACAAAACTTGAAATAAGAGCGGTCTCAAGATGCCATAGTTACAAGAATTTGTATGAGAACCATGGCGTCTTTTCAATGTAAAATTGCAATAGATCAAAGCCCACAATTCAACCACTGAAGAACAAGATATAGCTATTGCTATTAGGGATGACTTTTGCAATAATAGTTGGAATGATCAACATTCCAAGAATGAGGTGTGAATATCGTTCAAATCAAGGTTATCACAATACTTCATCCAACTTGTTGTCTGAATGGTAAACATAAATGGCTAAATATCAATATTTGTTGCAAAGTAAAAGATCAGAGGTTCATGTCAGTAGTTCTTCACTTATTTTTAAGTAATTATTTTAAGATTCTATAAAAATATCATGTTTATTGCATTTTTCATAGATGTTGATTTTATCAATTAATGCATGAACATTTTGAAGGATGTGAAACCAATTAACCCGCACCTTTAAGAATCATGTTTATTGTTGTGCTATCTCCTATTGAAATATCACCCCGTTCATATATCTGATCATTCACATGCTTGTGTGGGACATTTGGAAAGTAAACATCTCACAATTTTTTGGCAAGGGAAGCTCTCTTATAGAAGTTCGCAAAAGACTACATCCTACATTTGTTTTTCAGAAACAACTAAAGGCCCTTACTTCCAAAAGGTATGATAATGACGATAAGTTTGCTCAGATTCAAAAAAAACAAAAAAATGAAGATAGTTTTGCTTTCAACTCACAGTCCAGTATCAAGACCCCTATATGTAATCAAAACACTTCCTCAATGCCCTGGATCCCCACTCGCTACTCAAAAGCACAATTTGTGTCAAGCTTATTCCTCAACCTTTAGAGCATATCCATTTCTCTCCCAAACCCATACATGTTTTCATGGATTTTAGGATTCTTCACTGAACCTATATTTTTGGAGTCACTTGTCTATCTCATGAACACAAGTAATCTCAGCCAAATTTCAAGAGGATAGGATTTGAATTTACAAAATTCTCAAGGAAAAATGCTCTCTTGCATTTCCCCTTCTGAAGCCAGTTCACAGACCTTCATTCACCATCATCGTAGCCTTTTCCCAATTACTTGGGGTTGGCTTTCACGGACCTTCATTAGGTGCATCAAAGTTACTTCCCAAATCTTCCACATCACATTAATGAAAACGACCACTTGATGTGGAATTATCCAAAGCAGAATAAGATAAAAGGTAAAAGTGATGAGTTTGGATCAAATAAGCTCTCAGAGAATGGGACAACAGCTTGCCGTTTTACAACTCATTATGAACAAGATCTAAACCTGCTTCTTGGGCAATCAACACAAACGTGCAACCAAGGTAGGTAGTTTGCAAGGAAGCCAACATGAAAGTAGTTATGCCAACACCATGAGGAGTCCAACTTGCTCCAAATGACCTCAAACACCTCTCTAACTCCAATCACGTAACCTCTGGGGTAATATTAAAAGAAAAATTCAAGGAATGTAGGAAAGGTTAAATTTGACATGGTTACTAAATCAAAAAAGGGTTGCTTGGGCCTCTAAAATACCACCCAAAATTTGTTGAAGTCATTCCTATGCTTACAGTTAAAGGAATAATGGTTAACCTACTTGTTGAAGGAAAAGGAAATATAATCAAATAATGCAAAAGCCTATCATACACAAAAGGGAAACCCATAACATCCTCAACCACAATAATAATGGAGGCGGTCCCTAATGCCTCAGCATTGTTTGAAAGTAATTTTTGATACACTTCATCATATATTCGAGTGCACATCAAAAACGAAGACAGCCAATTTGTGGATAGACTCGCTAACTGGGGCATGTGTTGGATGTACCACTAGGAACCATAGCCCTCTGGCCAAAATGATCCCTTTTAATTTCTTTCTTCATGCAAGATATCCTTTAACCCTTATTGGGTGTGGTTGGATTACCAACTCAACAGGCACACAACTCACCTTGTTCAAGATTTACATTTCTTTTCCGATCCATTTAAGTCATATGAAACATACCCGAGGTCATATCTACCCTCTAACACATAAATTGACATCTTTGCCACCCACCAACCCAACGAACACAGCAAACAGAAAAAGAAAAAGGAAAAGGATGTACTAGAGAATTGTTTATTTTTATTTTTTTAAAAATCCGGTGGTTGTATATTATGTTACATATTAAGCGAGAGGTTTTGGTGAGGTGTAGTTGTATACAATCCGGAGCTTCAAAAATGGTGTAAATCTGGGGAAGATAAGAACACTTGAAACCGAAAATTGTTGCGAGATAGACCACTTTTAGGGCTTGAAATCAATATTTGTTTTAGTTCTATATTCAACAAGCCAAAGATGACAGATTTGCAGAGTTTCTGGCACCAGGACTGGTTTTTCCTGGAACATTTGGGCTGCTACTGTATACAGCCAATGTCTTAACAAATACTCCCCTACACATTAATGATATAAATCCTTCAATACTCCTAGTTTTCTTTTCAACATGTTCATTACTTTCTTACTTGCGTTTTCAAAGCTAACCAACACTAATTTATACCTCAACTAATATGCCTCTGTGCTTGGATGAGCCAAACTCATATCCCAAGTCTGGATATACATATACATTCCTTAATCCTTCAAGGTTGCACATCGTCCACGGCCCATTCAGAACGTAGTCTCTTCTTCTTCTTCTTTTTCCTTGTCAAATGAAAAATCTTCAAAATTGGGATCAAGAAACAACAATCTTATAGGTGACCTCCAGCAAACCAATGTATATGTACAGGATCGGTTCGTTAATTACACGCTTCTTAGCTAAGCATGCTTGCTTTGGTGTTTAGTTCATTGGAATTGCCGAATATTTTACTCATCCCATCTGATTTATAGAGACTAGCAATTTAAACAAAATAAGAGCTTCTAAGAAGAGGATTTCAACTAGGCTGCAAGTTAGTGCTCTATGGGAGAGGATTTGTATAGTTAATCAAGAAATGTCTTTGGATTTAGTCTAAAGCCTGCCCTGGAGTAGAAGTCCTTTCCAAATTGCTCCATGGAGCATTCTGATCAACAAAACCAAAATCCGATTGGTTACCAATTGACAAACCACCAAAACCAATAATGTCTATATAAAATCAAATATTTCAGGAAATGCACTCCCTTGATAAATCTCCAAGACGAAACAATAGTACAGAACCAGTTATAACAACAGAAAACATATTTTGACAAATTAGAAAAGACATAAGAAACTAAAAAAGAGATATATTTCACAACAGACCTTTTTGCACGTCGTCATCGGGTCGTCTGAATAAAATGGCGGATAACCTACAAGCATCTCATACATAATAGCTCCCAATGACCACCTATAAGAAGTTCACAATACTTTAGGGTGAAAGATTGACTAATATTTAGAAAACTACAATGAATCACATTTATGATTTCAACTGCAACAAAATTGCTACTTGGAGTTGAGAAAATGCACTTTTTTTTTTTTTGAGGAACTAGAGAAAGTCTCAATTACTCATCTAGAAGCAGTTACCATTTAAAAAAATTGAGAAAATATAATGGTCAAACCACATTAAAAAATCATAGAGGTGGTCAAATCAACCAAAATGTCAACTAAGTAGTTGTTTTTAGAAAGATCATCTCATTCAAGACCATTATTTAAAAAATACCAAAAATTCCTTTAGCTCTGAAATCTGGAACAAGTAGAGGTATTTTGGTATTTTAGCCCCACTTATGTGCCCGAGCCAAATGATGCCCAAGAACACATGCTTTTTCATTTAAATCTCTTGTTCCTGATTCAGAATGCGAAATAATCAGGGGCATTTATGTCATTTGGCTCGACTTAAGTGGCCCCAGCCAAATGACGAAAATATCCCACCAGTTCCAGGTTCCAAACCTGGAACCTGTGTTCCTTCATTTAAAAAAAAAATGGGAAATGCCAAATTCAGAAGACGTCCCAGATTTGAAATTTGGAACATTTGGACATCTTAAACAAAAATTTGAAGAGGTACTTGATTGAAATGCTCTCACTAACCATTCTGTTGGTTAATTGGTGAATTTTTGCGGTGCTTTGACAATACCAGTATAGAAATATGGAAGACACCAAAAACAATTACATTTTTTAGAAGAAAAATAACTCTGATAGGTTTAACGGTTAACACCATATTAAATCAAGCTTCGTGCGATAATAGTTTCTCAATTTACACTCACCTCATAAAAGCTAACCCATCTATTTACCTTTGATTAGAGGATTTTTACTTTTATCACAACAAAGTGCAATCATGTCTAATTACCAGCCACAGTCACAAAATGTAAATAACATCTGAAATGTATAATGAAGCTATTACCATCCCTCAAACTATGGGACTGGAAGTTTCAGCATTAGATTTCATATAGTTTACTCTTATAACCAATGTTTTAGAACTCGGCTTAGTCAGGGAACTCAGGCCTTGCCCTGGCTGAGTTACTCGGGTGAGCTCGAGTTGGCTTCCCCAAGTTTGCATCAGGCCAAGAAAGAAAAAAAATAAAAGAAGGGGAAAATATGCTCGAAAAGCAGTAAAAATAAGGGAAAGAACAAAGAAAAGGATAAACATTGGAAAAGGTATATAAAAGATTAGAAAAGTTTTTCGAAAGGTATTAAAAAAAGCTTGTTCAATATTATTTTCTCAGGAAACCTAGAAAAATAGAAAGAAGAAAATATTAAAATTCACAAAACCATAATAAGTATATAAAAAACTTATAATAATTCAATTATAATTGAACAAGCAAAGGATAAATAAATTGTAAATCCATTTAATTAATTTTTATTGACTTTTATATACCTCCAAGTTTGTGGAGACCCAAGCAAGAAACCTTGCCGAGACCGAGTTACTCAACTGAGTTTGAGTCGAACAACCCATGTAGTCAAACATCGGTTATTACAATCATGACAGCATTAATTACTCACTGACATATTAGTATTAATGTATTATTAACATTTGACTTTGACAATAATCTTGTTCTTTTTGTAGAATAATCAATGAGTAATTACTTACAAAAATAGGAAAATATAATGCAAAAATAGCACTTTGGTAAATGCAATCAATGGAGAGGGCATCAACAAAAGAATAGCTCTGTTCCACATATCTTTTAACGTTGCCACTCATACAAGAATACCAGATATAAGGAAATCCATAACAAAAGTGATGGGTCATCATCAACCAAGTGGAACTTTCTCCACAAAGTAAACAAGTATACAGCAAGTTGTGCCAAACAAAGGAAGACAATTAAACCCTTAAAGGTATCTCTATCTCCATTTGAATCCATCCCTATCACTCTAACCCCAGAAAGATAGATTTCCACCAAATACTTCAGCTCCCCCTTAAACACCCTATAACACCACTAAACACCCTATTACCAAGCAATTCATACAATATTACAACTACCTTCTCAACATCTCCTTCTATCTCTTCTGCCTCAACCATAGAACCTAGCGCTGTAAGATGTCCCAACCCAGATGTAGTAGATATCACCAGGCATTTCTCAAAATCTAGGATGCAGGTATGGGTGTCGCATCTAATACAACTATAAAATATAATATAGCTTGTATAATACACAAATACATGCTTTACATTAGAAAAGTACATAAATTTATGCATCCAATACATTGATGCATATATATACCATATTGCAAAGCATAATATGAAATATTACAAATCTACTTTACATCAATTATGTGGATACCAAAATATTGGGTATCAATATCGATGTCTAAACAGTATGCAACTGGAACATGAAGTGTATACAAGAACCCGTGCATCATAACCGCTTTCTCTACCCTTCCTTTCTTTCCTGGTCTTCCCACTATCTTGATCCGCCCTCCTTCATCCCCCTCGGTAAGGTCTGATGCTTCCCACCAATCATTCCATCAAACAAACTGTCCTCCAAATATCAAATTTCATGTTTTCAGGAAGGTTTGGTAAGTCCAGGAAAAAAGATTTTCACGACTTGGCTAATGGTTTGATTTTTTTGAGAAAATAATTCTAGGAAAAAGTTCTAGAACTCATATTTTTTACTTTATTTTCTCTTTTGGAATGTACGGATGTGTTTGTGGGCTGTGTGCTTTAACAATTTACTCATCAAGGACAATTCCAAAGCACCAGGGGCGTCCTAGGATGTCACCTAGCCACAACAGCCTGAAATGCTAACAGGGCAACATAAGATACAGTTCCTGTGACTGAGAAACCATTGATGTTGAAATCAAGTATCTATAAAATTTTACAACTTAGAAGATGGTACATCCAAAAAACTTTCAGCTTATTAAATATAATATTATTTTATTGTTCCTCGTACGTAAATAACTTACACATTTAATCATTGTCCAGTGAGTTTCAAAAACTTACTTTCACAATTTTCTTTTCTATGCACTCAAGCAATGTAAATGCTGACATTTATTTACCAATTTTTGTGAAAGAAAAAAATACCTCACATGAAAAAGGGATTAGATTTACCAATTGCCGAGGAGAACCAAGAAGAGTGTAAAATCTGAGAACCCTAAAAGAAACTATAGAGTCTGTGTAGAAACAATGCCAAAATCTAAAACTAGGAGAACCCTAGCAGAATATAGATCTTTTTGTAACTTCATATTGAGTATGATGATAGCACAGATATGGCTCAAAAAAAAAATATCACTTTGCAGAAACATCTCCACATTTAAAGAAAGTTCATGCCATTTTCTTCTCTTATTTCCATTTCTTCTACTGATTAAGTTAGTTCAAGACATATCTCTACCAGAAAATCAATTAGAGACTGGAAAAGGCAGAAATATGCAAACCAGTCACACTCCATGCCATAGCCTTTCTTGAGTAAAACTTCTGGGGCAATGTAGTCTGGTGTGCCCACAGTCGAGAATGCCTGAAATCAAAAATTTGATATCCACTTATTGTACAAGAATATCCTCATCACACAATGGTACCATATTAGAAACCTCAGTTATTGCTATTAACAGTTCAGTTTCTGATGCAAACATGCACAATTGGGAAATCTTGGAACACCAATCAATGACAGGTGGTCCACCTTGTCAGTAACAGAAATACAATTACAAGACATGCAACAATTAAAAAGAAAGGGAAAAACAAGAGTCAACCAATTATGCAGATGCTCCAAAAACAGAGAATTTGAAACTGAGGAACATGTTCTTTCTCTAATTTTCTATTTTACACAGAGTTCTTTGGATCCCAGACAAGAACTTACCAGCTTTCTCCTGTTCATCTGCCAATGCTGAAGCTGCTCACGAGGACTTCTCCACGGGATCCCGTTGTTCCTATCTGGGAAGGAACCATCAATGTCCATTGATTCCCTTAAGTTCTCATCACTTAGAGGTTCGTTTTCATTAAGTGCAGACAAAGTTGTACAGTCTAGCGGTTTGCAAAGACCAAAGTCAGAGAGCTTCATGTGACCATTTTTGTCCAAAAGAAGGTTGTCAGGTTTGATATCTCTGCAAAGAAACCAGATTGGCATAAATGGATACGTAAGGTAAAATGAATTTTTAGAATAAGCTCATAAGACATCAGTCAGAAAAGGAGAAGTACACCATAATCCAATGGATTACAGAAAGACCATAGGGGATCATCACCATCCATTGAAATGATGGACAATGAGGGAGATAGGGAGGGAACCAATATTGGGCAATGTTGAAAAACTCCCTAGGCGGCACCTAGGCAATGGGGGCCCTGGGACACCTAGGCGCCGAGAGACATGGTCGCCCAATTGTCGATTTTTTTTTTTTTTAGAAGGTTTGGTTAAATACTAAACCTCCCCAGATATGAGTTAAAATAACTATTTAAAAAAAAAAAACAAAAGAAGAAGAAGAAGAAAGAAAGAAAGGAAACCCCAAATAGTAAGCCCATACATTTCTAACTCATAAATTGTATCAAATAGTCAAAAACTAAAGAAACTCACATAAAAGAAAACACCACAACTCATAAAATGATAAAACCCAAAAAAGAAATTCTCCAAGCTTCGAAAGGGTGAGCTTTGGTTGCCAAAAGCCTCTATTCATTATCCCTTCAAGCCCAAAAAGATCGGGCGCAAATGCCTTCTGATCTTGCAAGAAATCGAAAATTTTGGATTTAATACTGGGGAGGAAAAAAGATTAAAAATTACCCCAACAGGGGCATTTTTGCCCCTCTCTATTTTTTTATGGGCTGCCTAGGCAGGTGCATGACCGCCTAGGCACCCACCTTTCTTCCCCCCCCCCGGCCCCCAAACTAGGCCTGAGCCTCTGGGCAAATTTTCCAACTTTGATATTGGGGACACAAAATGTTCTGGTGCACCTACAATTAAGAAACAATTTTCAAATGCTCCTATTCCTAATTACATTAGTTAGAGATCTTCCTGGAACAGCTACATTTATTGTTATAGGGAGAACATCACAACAATATTTGGAGGTTTGTGGGCACTTGCATATAGATATTACAAATTTTTGGACCATAAAGATGAGTAATACAAGAAGTAAAAGTGTTCTAGGAACTGCCATGACATTCTTCCCTTTACGAAATAAACGGTTAGAAAGAATCGTACAAACCTGTGGATGTAGCTGTGTTTATGTATGGACTCTATGGCCAACACACTCTGAGCGATGTAAAACCTTGCCACATTTTCAGTTAAGGTGTCTTCTCTTATCAGAAGAGTCATCATGTCACCCCCAGGGAGATACTCCATAATTAAATACAAGTACTCAGCATCTTGAAAGGAATAGTAAAGCTTCACAATGTAGTGGCTAGCAACTTCAGCGAGCAAATTTCTTTCTGCTCTAACGTGCTCCACCTGCAGACTGCGAGAATCAATAAGCATGCCTTTGATGCAAGGAAAAGGGAAAATGTTAGAATATTGTAAGGTTTCACTAGAAACAAGCTGCCATAAGGGACTAGTAAGGTAAAAAATGAAGCATGATAAGCCTACAGTAAATGGCCCAAGATGCTACATATGCATGCATACATGCATATTTACCTGGTGCAATGTCACTCATTTTGCTTTTTTCAAAGATATACAACATGGATAGACACACACGCGCACATGCACACATACAAATTTGCATAAGCAGATGCACATACATCAACATAGTATAATTTAGTTTAGGAAAATTGTTTCATGGGGGCTGGACCGCATGACTACATATGCAGTCCAAAAAGTGTAAAGCATCCATCTTAAAGATGGATGCAAGTAGGTGTTCCATCTAAAAACAATGGAAACTAACGGTCCAAATCTTTTCTTACTATAATTATTATTTCTAGTTTTTAAAATTTACTTTTTTTTCATGTTCATGATCTCCATGTTAGAGATTACATGTCCTTAAAAATTAAGTCCAAAAATCCATCTCCAAAATAGATTTATTAATAGGCCGGCATTTCTACATATGCAGGCTTGGCCACATAGAAATCGGGTCCTTTAGTTTAACTGAAGTGAATCTTCATTGCTTCCTTCTCAAAATTCATAAGTTCATTAAATCAAGAAATTAGATGAGACAAAACTGCATAACATCATCATCGTCATCAGAAGCTTTTCCCAACTAATTGGGGTTAGCTACATGAATCATGGTCCACCATTCTGCTCCATCAAGGGCCATACACTCGATGAGGCTATAAGTCACCATATCTTTTCTCACTACTTCCAACCATATCCTTTTGGGCCTACCCGTTACCTTTTTGAGCCTTCCACTTGAACTAACTCACACCTCCTAACAAGTGTTGCACTGGGTCTGCGTTGCACATAACCAGTCCACCTCTCTATACTTTCTCTAATGGATTCATTTCAAATTCTATCCCTTCTTGTATTGCCACTCATCCATCTCAACATCATCATCTCAGCTACATTGATTCTATGTGTATGTTATATAACATCAAATAGAGGAAATCAATCAACAGATCCACACATTATTGGCTTCCTAGTGAGACTGACCCCTTCAAAACCTGGACCGAGCGGGAATGCTCTATGAACCATAAAACTTTTCTAATCATATTGAGCTTCTCAACTAACAAAACCAAACATGTCCCCCATTTCTAAGTGTGCTTTTTGTGGTTTGATTTAGAAAGTATTAGAGAAAGTACACAAAAGAAAGAACCAACTTCAATTTAAAAGTACGTTTTACCTTGCAATTTGGGGTTCCGAAAAACTCCCAGGTCCTGGATTTGACTGCGCCCTCTTAGACCACCGTTTATCTGTTTACCAGGGACACCCACGCTCATCCCAAAAGGGCCGATCAACACTTTGGAGAGAAGATTCATCACCAAGAGATCTCACAAGAATATGGCCCGTCTTGCTCACTTTTGATAGAAGAGTGGTGCACCTCGATGTTGGATGTCAATGGGTTTTCTGGGGCAACGGTTGATCTACTACAAAATTGAGTTTCTAAATGTAGCTTCTAGTTGTTGTTGCTGTAAAAAAAAATTTGAGGCAAATTTGAAATTTGGGGTTTGTTTTGGGTTTAATTTGGGGATTTGGGGATTTGGGGTATTTGTGATGTTTGGGTTAATTTGGGGATTTGAGGGTTATTTGAGGGTAATATAGGGTTTTTGACATGTTTCTCACACTAGAGATGGGTTAGAGAAGAGTTTTGACTTCTAAGTTTCTAACCCTAAGTTTCTCTTTAAATTTTTTTACCCCTACAAATGAAGAGGAAGGGGATATTTCTAGGACCTTCTTGAAACATGGGTGCACAATCAATTTTGAGGCTGATACATGGGTGGAAAAACTAAATTTCATCCCGTCATTTCCACAAAGGGCAAGCTTTTTATGTCCATATTTGAGAAAATCTTGTGATCTACCGATGGGAAGCTTGAGTTTTCATGTCTTCGTCAAGTTCACCACTTGTTTCATTGTTTTTCCACCAATCTTTGGTTTTCCTGGCTCCATAGATTTGCACAGTGCTCTTTTAGAAGCATTTTGCAGCAAATTTGGACCATAAACTCCAAGATTTAAGGGAGCTAAGATCATTTTTGTGTATTTAGAACAAAACTTCATGAAATTTCATGCTCTTCTTCAGTTTCTTACTATCTCACCCCATCTTTTTTGCCAATTTTGCTAATTTCAATAATATAAAATTGTAGATGATCACTTTAAGGGCATTTTGCATCAAATTTGGATAAAAAACTCCATGATGTGAAGAAGTTATGAACATTTTATTGGGAGATTTCCAAAATTAAGCAGTCTCTTTATCTTAGACACTTTCAAGCTTCAATTTGACCCCCAATCTTGTTTTAAACCCCTCAACAAATTATATTGAGGTTTAGATAACTGACTAAAGATCATATATGCAAAAATTCAACTTAAAACTCCCCATAGATTGTGAGAAGTTGACCAAAAAGTGGATCTAACTCAAGCGGACTGCAACTCTTGTACACCGTTTTGATCCCTTACTTTTCGCTTCAATCTGGTATTGATCCATGCAGAAAACCCCGATGATATATACCTTGACAGAAAGATCTCTGAGTCAAGAACAACAAATCAATGTTTCAGCTCATTTGAATGAGGTTTGGGAGATATGATTAAAACTTGGAGAGGAAGTCATCCCGTCACATTGGTGATTTGTCCTTTTCCACCATGGACCATGACCACAATATGGTCTTTTCTCTTTGAAAGGTGGGGTGATCCGTTGGTGTGTCCTCAAAGATCCCTTCGAAAATGATACTTCCCGTTATCAGAATGAGCCCAAATTTTGAACATAAGCTCTTTCAAGGAAAGCTGCCTTCAAATAAAATTTCTGGTCATATTATGAGGATCACCAAAATTTGGGCTTGTCTGAGATTGTATTGGCCGATTGTACTGAGTTCTGGGGATTTTGTTGGGTTTCCAGCGGGTACAAGCCAGGGATTTGTTTGACTAGTCAACTCTACGCATTGCATTTGGTGAGATTGTGTTTTGATTTTCCACCATATTCTCAACATCTACGAAGCAATACAGAGCCTCTTGAAGGCCCAAACCCCTAGACTTCATCCCTTCTGGACTGGGGTAGGACCATAGTGCAGTTTTGTACTTCATACCTACGGAAACTGTTCAATGTGCCGAATGTTGAAAAATTCAGCCACCTGGCCACCTACGTGTGCCCTAGACAGGCGCTCGTAGGCACCACCTAGATGCAACTTAGCCGAGGGATGAAAAAAGCCGTGGGCAAAGGTCAAAAAAGTAACCCCGCCCCCCCGTTTTCCCAAACCCAAAAATGGGGGAAAAGGGCTTTGGGGGCATTGAAACCCCCCAAAACCATATATGCCTAGTGCCATCCCCCATATTTTTTTTTTAAAAAAAAAAAAGTAAAATATAAATCCCCTTAAAAGCATAAAAAATAGTGAAGGCCCTTTCTCTCTCGCTTACAGGCTCATGTACTCTATCTCTTCATATAAAAAGACGATGGACTCCAAGTGTTTGACACAAGGCCTCCTTCTCATGCACACACAAAGACCCATATGTTTTCTCTACATATAATAGGAAATAAAAGAAGAAGATGACATCCAAGTGTTCGTTGTGAGGGCCCCCTCTCTCACAAACTCATACTGTCTCACACACACTCTATATATAAGATTAGAAAAAAGTAGTTGAATTGAATTTTAAGTATTTGATGAGAGGCCCGCGTGTGCACACCCACTCACAGATGTCCCCCCCCCCCCGCCCCCCCAAAAAAAAAAAACAAAAAGTCCTTGAATCAGAAACACTCCAAACGCTGTAAACTCCAAAAAGTCTCTAAAGCACTTCTCAGCAATAAACAGTAACCATAATAATAATAAATAAGTATATTATGATTAATAGTCCAGCAATAAGCATATTATCGTCTTCGTTAGAGACTTCTCAGCAATAAACAATAACCATAATAATAAGAAATAAGCATATTATGATTAATAGTCCAGCAATAAGCATATTATTGTCTTGAATGTCTATTCCTTTTCTTCTTCTATTTTTATTTCCTTTTCTTTGGTGTTTATTTTATTACAAGTTCTTTGGAATTTTCCAATATCTGTTTCAAATTCTCCTTTTTAATCATTTTCTTTACATTACAGCAATTTTACTCCATGTACCTGTATTTTTCTTATGATTATTTATGGTACTCTTTCAATATAGTGTGGACAATTCCCACATCTCATATATCTATACTTTCTATTTTGTTTTTATATTTATATGTCTATTCTGGTGTTTCTTTGTCCATGACAAGGCTCAATGTGTTAGTGTCTGCACTGCATGCATGTGCACATCTAGGTATAAAAGGATGGATGAAAAAACCGTTGCTTATCATTAACGGTGCCATACACCTATAACTTTTGCTACAATAGCATCTTACCCATGCCTTACGTTCATTGTATCAAAGCTTTCCATAAGAACATAAAAGAAAATAGACCTTAAAAACATGCATGCCTACAGGGTTATTCATAAAAACTAAGGGAAAATCAAATCACACCTGTCCTCTGCTAAGCATCTCAGATTTCTTCAATTTTTTCATGGCAAATATATTTCCAGTGGACTTCTCTCGGCAAAGTCTGACCTGTATGGCAACCAACTGTAAGAAACCCATGAAGCCCATAAGGCCCAACTACAAAGGATAAAAACCAACTCCATACAGGAGCATAATTCATGTTGTGGGAGGTTTGAGGCCAAAGAAATTGCTTGGTGTGGCATAAAAATGCACTGAGAGAAGCAATTGTCAACTACATAAAATAAATATCATGTAAATAAGAACGAACAAGGACAATAGGCTAAAAAGGCTTGCTTCTCTTATAGGTAGCCATATTGAACAGCTCTTGTGCCTTTTGCAAGAAACCAGAATTTCACGGAAGTATAGCACAGGCAAGGCATGATGAATTACTTATATGCTCCATATTTTGAAGACATAATTTTCACCAAATAATATTTATGCTGCACTGGGAGGCTTAATGTATTACTTGAAAGTTGGAAATGTTTAATAGGGAAACTAGTTCACCTACTTTTCTGTTTGTACTATCTTTTCTAGTGGAGGAGATTTAGCATTCGACTGCTAAGGAGAGGGAAGCTAACACATGGCTTTGCTGTCCATTCTGCAATTTCAACTGTGAAACTGATTCCCAGTGGCGAGACGCGTGCAAACATTAGGATCAAAGGGGCTAGGTATTCACATCTTCAATTTGATTAACAAAACCCCTACTTCAAAGACGTTTTCCGCTTCTAGTGAAGTACATATAAAAAGGGCAGACAAGTTGGTAAAAGATAATATACACATAGAGAACCAATACTTCAGAGAAAAATTGTGAAATTTAGTGTCCATCAGCAGTCGAATGTGTGAAACTAAGTCTACTTTCACAATAGGATGTGGAGTTCTTCCACAGCCCCTTGGGTTATTGTATACTATCTCATCATCCATACCCGACACATGAAATCACAAACTGTATGAGAAACCCACAGATCAGAAGAGAAACTCATTCAAAATGATTAAAGGCTCCTAGGCATAGAGAACCATCGAACATTGTCCTGCGAGAGAATTACCACTGTCCTAGAAGAGTAAGAATCCACTTCCATGGGATTTATGGTAAATAAGTTCCCTAGCTCCTTTAGAAATGAAAGTGATCATAATTCATAAATAGTTTTGGTTAATATAAAAATAAAGTGAAGCAAAGTTTTCTTTGATATATAAAATTGTCAAAAAATAATAAAATAATAAAATAAAAATAAAAATAAAAAGGAACAAAAACTGAATAAAAAATGGACATATTGCACAACATGTTCGAAAAGGAGAATGATCTTATTTAGAGAAAATCCTATGCATTATTGCTATGAGAAACAAACAGCGTTTGACCATTTTAGTTTTCAATGATTGTACAGATATCAAATGTATTCTTCTCTTTGCGAACTTTGAGCAGGTTCATCTAAACCCCCCTCAAACCTCATTAGGCACATAGAAATTAATTCAGGTTATCAAGCAAAGTAAAGAACAAAGGGCAAGCAATAATAACGTATAGATCAAACCTCGCCAAAAGCACCTCTACCAATGATTGTCAATAGCTCAAAATCATCCACACATATCTTATGCCGTTTAAGACGCATATATTCAGTTTCCTTTCTTTCCAAATCCTTGATAAGATTGATCTGCTCTTCCTCAGACACATCTGAAGAAGCTAACTTTCTCTCCAGAACCCACCGCCTGTAAAAAGGCCAGACAAATTCTTTTAGCAACAACTACTGACATTAAAGTCATTACTCGGTAGAAATGAATCTAAAAGATTCTGGAAATAATTACAATAAAATCACCATCAGTTGAATCGGCACATAATGATTATTTCAGAATCAGAAAATTGATTTGAATAAGTTTTGGACTTTAGAATTGTTACTAACTGACCACTACTGAGAATGCTGTGCTCCGAACAGTTTGACAAGAAATACACCTACCTCTGCATTTTACAGCCACAGTTAAGAACACAGACTCACGCTTAGGACTTAGACCTGGTCCCAAGCCAAGTCAAGCCACCTTAGTTGTGAGCCTCAATAGAATCACACAACCCCACAAGTTGGAAGAAGGTCCTTCACAATGTCTCAGTGTCGTTCCTCAAGATACGACCTACCCTTAGATTCCCAACAAAATTTCCATCTACATTTAACTTCCAAGACCCTTTGAGGACACCCCAAAGTGGGACTAGTCCGTTAGCTCTCTAGAATATGCTACCAGTCATTGTGAGCAAATACTAGCAAAGATCGGCAATTACAATTTCTTTGCACTATTGAGAGACAGAGCCCAAGAAGACTAGCCATCTTGCATTCTCCCAAGACAGCAAAAGAGTGTGAAGGAGTTGTAATTCACTGTAGGATCCCCACAACTTTGACAGTTTTTACGTCCAAATATTCCACATATAGCAAAAGACACATCATAGTTCAGTACCAACCCATTCGAATGATGATTGTAGATGGATACTGAACAACTTGAGGAAGAAGCACCATGCAAGAAAAGTCGACCTCTCGTCTTTTTGATACAAAGAGAATATGTTCAGGAATTGGATCATCCAATAATTAATATTGTGAACCTCAAAGGCCTCATAAACAATATTTAGCTACCCAAATGGAACTGATCTAGGTTGACTAGTCAATAATCAATTACAGATACTAGGAATTTCACTCCACTGCCATGGTGGGACTGTGGGAGGGCCTAATAAAGGATCAGGTCAAGAACCAACCAGTGTCACCACACCTCCAAAGCAACATGTTAGAAGCGGCTTTCAATGTAACCTGTCCCACCTCCAAAGGGCCCAACCTACACTGCCCAACTCAGAATAGCGTATAGGAAGAACCTTGCAAGATACAAACATAATCTAGATATCCTTCAAATCCCTCACAAAATGATAATACAAAAAACTTGCCTCTCCTCGATACAGTCCAACTGGGATGACAAGCTTGGGAAGCAATCCTGAAGAACTAATATGCCCAAACCATACGTGGTTCAAAATCTTGATTCTTTCCCATCCTCAATCCTCAGGTAATTAGAAATTTGAAAAGTTGAGCTAAAGGCGTATGGTTCTACTATTCGTCAATGAAATTTCATATTATAATGACAAAAAGCAGTTGCAGTACTTGAAAAAAAAACTATAGAAAACATAAAATGGTTAGAAATGTTTTTGTTTCGTTAATGTTCATTTATTTTAATTTTTTCTTTAAAATAAAACAATAGGACTTGCCCAGAAGTTCAGTTTGTTCTAGACCAGGTCAGAATAGGAGATTTGACTTTCAGAGCAAACATACTAAAAAAGCCTCCCCATCGCTAAAACCAGATCACACTAGCCTCACCAAATAGGAAGAAGAATATAATGCTTTACTTCCCCCATTCCATCTCCCCATCAGCTCGTCTCTGTTGCAAAACCTCAATAAAATCCCCTTGATGGGCCACAACAAGGCAATGCCTCTCCCTTTCTTTTTAAAAAAAAAAAATTCATACTTTGTTGATCTCATTCACAACAAGGACAAATAATATGAAAAAGGCACTCTTTGTGACTTGTCATCAAGAACCAAGAAAGTAACTCAAAGTCTCAAATGCATGAAGCGTTTTGTTTTTCTATTCCTTTACCCAAATTCAAATTTGTTGGAACTTTCTATATTTTTATCCATTTGACATATTTAAAATTCATTAATAAGATGACTTACCAAATTAAATCAAGATAAATATAGATAAAGTAATCATTTACTTGGAAAAATCAATTGATTCGATAAGAAGAAAAGTGTTCCGAAAAAAGGTGCTTTAGAAAAATTAATTCCACCACATATTCCTAGCAAAAACACATTCCCAGCAAAAACATATTCCCTATAAACGAATTGTTTCTCCAACTAAATCAGTGTTTCAAAATCTGATTTTTGTTCATGGCTATTGCGAATTGTTTACTTTTATAGCATTTATACAAAAAAGATCAGATTTTTTTCACTCCATCTTTTTTAGCCCAATCTGAAATATTCACGATATGGTTATTTACATTAGTTTTGCCAATCCATATTTTTTACCCAACTTTTTGCATTCGACTTTTTGGACCCAAACTGATTTAATACCAATTTCTTATGAACTGGTAAAATGTCATTCCCCAACTTGCTAACTATGGTCAAAACACAACTTTAACATTTGTTTATCAAAGGCTAATTAGCCAAAGACTCTCCGAATCAGGAAATCAAACTGCCAAATCCAAGATCATCATTTTACAACCGAGAATTTCTAAATTCCTCCCACAGCTATCTCTTAGGAGCACTTACACATAAGCAAGTGCCTATGTAGATCACAGAAAAAGTTTAAAAAGCTCCCCAACAATCCTCTAAACACATCAAATCTCCCAAAGTCGACTCTAACCCAACCCATATTGCTTGTACTTCTCTAATTATCACAAGTATAAAACTTGCTTCCTTTGATTAACTCCTTTCCTATAGCTCTTTCAAAACAAAGTTCAAGGCCAAGGATTGCTCAATTCTAATCAAGGGGCCCAGGAAGATATATGAGTTCCTTCTAGTGATGGGCAACTCTCTTACAAGATTTTGGACATGATTAGAATAAATGTGATTTTTGGGTATGTCAGAGCCAATAAGAGGTGTCTACGGATCATTAGGGGCCAAATGTTCACCTTTCAATTTGGTTGGGCAGCGCCCATGTGGTCTCAATCCAAGGATTTGAACAATGGCATTCATCACTTGATCCAATTTGATCATATTCAAGGAAGCAAAATGAAAATCGAAACAAATAAAAAGAAGAATATGAATCAAACAATCTACTAAGAATTATTTTCATGTGTTCAGAACAGTGAGCAACACAGTTCCCGAGTCCACTCACAAAATGCATCGATCTCAACCCTTTCAGCTCAAAATTTCACTAATTTTCCACAGTAAACCCATGAATTCATCCAAACAGAGATAAACCCACATCACCAATTACAAAAGAGAATTACCTCACCTCTCCATTTCCACCAGAACAGCAATTATCTCAATAACCCACATCAAAACAAACCAACCAATAAACATTTTCAAATCATATAGAAACAAATAAAGCCGCCCAATTCCAGCTCGCAAAAGGGCCAACAGAGTGAGCATAACCAGATGTTACGTATGCCAAAAATGGAGAGACAAAAATGGATAGAGAAAAGGGGATATTGAGTTCCAAAATCTTCACCTTTCCTTGCGTTCCTGAATATTCTTCATCTGGGCCCTGTAATGGTTCTCGATAAACTGCTTCGCTGCCGCCACCTTCTCCATGGTCAGACTCGAACCCAGAGCCTCCTCCTGTTCCCCATTCTCTGCCATCCCTCTCTACCTCTCTCTCTGAATCAACCCCTTTTCTCTTCTTTTTTCTTCAGCTAAATCAAACTCTGTCTCTCCCCCTCTCTCTCTCCTCTTATACCAGTGAATCTCGCCCCCTGCTCTCTCTATTTCTTGCGTTTCTCTCACCAGGCAGCAATGGCTTGACCAATGACCACCATAATAAGTGAGAGAGAAAGAGAGAGAGAGCGCTACAGAAAACCAAGTCGTCAGTCGCGCAGGTGACAACAACAGATGACAGATGAGAGGATGAACGGACCTTAAAAATACCCCCACTTTTGATATTAAATCTCTCTTCACCTCGGAAAATAAATAAATGCCGAAAACAGATGCAAAATTAACAAGAAAAAAGTAATTTATAATTGGGTGTAGTCCGTATAGAGCCCCAAACAAGGCAAAGCTTTCTATGTTCCCCCGAACAACAAAAGTTCTATCCTCCCTCATCCATCCAGTGGTCCATTTTTTTTTATCAAAAGAACCACTCATCGTTTCATCATAGGTCCGATGTCTTAAAGTATTTTATTTTTAGTTTTTTTAATATAAATTTTTTGAATATGAAATTTGATACGTGTCATCTTCTCATTGAAGCGCACCTATAAAAAATATTAACAATATTTTTTTGATAAAAAATAATAATCAAAATACTCCTTGAAACTTTTAGGGGTATTTTGGTCATTTTATTTTTTGAAAACATTTTTGTTATATTTTTCGTTAGTGCGAGTTTAATAGAGGAATGGATGTCCACAATTTGGTGTCGAAATAGTTTATAGAAAAAAATTTAAAATAAAATAGTGTAGAGACGTGACATTGTGATTGGGGCAATCTTAACCCTCCATTAAAAAATAGACGGTTGGATAAGGGGGAGGATAGCACTTCTATGTTGTAGGGGGAATATAGAAAAGCTTTCCCTCTAAACAATCTAGAGTGCACCTTCAAATAGTATCCAGAAATGTGGTTTCAATACTCAAAATCTTTGTGATAACCTTAAAATATATTTTCATCTTTAATTGTAAAATATAAAGCTTCAACAACAGTGTAGATCAATCAATTTATGAAATTTGAAAATTGACGGTCCAAAAATGCATTACAAGATACACTATTTTCGAAACTTGAAATCCATTTTTTTCTCATGTTCATGCATCTTGATGTTCAAAACTTGAAATCCATTTTTCTCTCATGTTCATGCATCTTGATGTTAAGATGATGGATTTGAGGATATTTGGCATCAAAACAAGGGAACATTATAAATAACCCCCAATTTTAGTCTTTCTTTGAAAGTTGCCCCCAACCAAACTTTTTTTATCACTTTTTAATCCAAAATACATTCTCTTAGCAAATACCCCCCAACCTAAAAAAAGATCTAAACTACCCTCCCTTATTTTTACCCATGCTTCTCTTTCCTTTTCCCACGAAAAGGCAGTTTGAGGTATTCTTAGGGCAGTCTGACAGTGTAATATCAGTTTGGTAAATAACAGTGGTTGTCCGGCAATACAAGTGGCGGTCTGGCACTTACAAATAATGGTCTGGCAATAGGCCATGCGGTTCGGCACTGCCAATGAGAGGTCTGACAACAGGCCTATGCGGTCCAGCAATAAGCCCATGCAGTTCGGTACTACCAATGATCGGTCCAACAACAGGCCTATGCGGTCCAGTAATAGGCCCATGCAATTCGGTACCGCCAAAGAGCGGTCCGGCAATAGGATTATGCGGTCCAGCAGCAGGCCCATGCGACATCAGGCTTATCCAGTCCAGCAACAGGCCCATGCGGTCCAGCAACAGGCCCATGCGATTCAACAACAGGCACAAAGTGTGGCCCGGCAATGTCAAAGAGTAGTCCGGTACTTTTTTAGTTTAACGAGGTCCGACAATGTCAAAGAGTGATCCAGCAGTCCTTGTAAGCTCACATGAATGTCCGGCCAAAATTAAATTTTTATGTACTAAAAAAGGCATTTTCGTCACAAAATGTACCTATTTTTACTTGGGGGTATTTGCGAGAAATGTGTATTTTGGGGAAAAAAGTGAAAAAAACTTTTGGGTATCTTGCATAGAGGTAGGCTCTAATTTGATCCTTTAAAGCCTTGGCTCTAGTATTTTGGTCGGCTTACAAATGCCACCCATTTAGTAAGAAAATCACATGCAAAACCGAGTTATATTATGGAGGACTTACTAATGCCACCCAATGAGTAGTATTGCATTTTATACTAAACAATCAAAGTTCAAAGGCATATTTTGGAGGGTGCAAAAATTTATTTGCAGCCCTAATTATGAACTTTAAAGCGTCAAAAATGGTATCGATCGAGCAAATTTATAAATATTTAAAATTTTAAAAAATAAATGATCCAAATAAAATGATGCAATATATATTACTTAAAATCCTTTTTACTTTCAATTCATATATCTCAATATGGGGATGAACAATTGGAGGGTTTTCAAGAATAACCTTTTCAGGTAAATTTTTGAAGTGCACTTCGTTTTTATAGTATAAGGTTGACATCAACCTTTTTTCTTTACAATAACATGCGGAGAAAATAAAAAAAGGTGTAGTTTGTACAATGCCTAGGCTCAAAGAGCGTCGAGAAATATGGTTTCAATACTATAAATCTTTGTGATAGCCTTAAAATTTATTTTTATCATTATTTATAAAGTTTAAAGCTTCAAAAATAGTATAGATCAACAGATCTATGAGAACTTGAAAATTTTGAAAATTGACGGTCCAAAAATGCGTTACAAAATACAATGTTTTCAAAACGTGAAATCCATTTTTTTCTCATGTCTATGAATCTTCATGTCGGGATAATCGATTTGAGGATATTTGAGCATCAAAACAACCTCTTCTAGTGACATTTTTTAGGTAGGTTGATTGGTTAGAACCTCGGCTCTATATAAACTTTTCCCAATAAAAAATGTGGTGAAACCATAATAAAACTTGAGCTATGTTTTGGATGGACCCCGGTTTCTATGTGGCCAAGATTGCATATGTAGGTATCTTAATAAATCCATTTTAGAGATGGATTTTAAGACTTAAATTTTAAGGATGTGTAATCTCTAACATGGAGATCATGAAAAAATAAATAAATTTTAAAAATTAAAAATAATAATTTTAGTAAGAAAACATTTAGACAGTTAGTTTCCATTGTTTTTATATGGAATACCTGCTTACATCCATCTTTAAGACAGTTGCTTTATATATTTTGGACCGCATATGGTCCAGCCCACATGAAACAAATTTTTATTTTGGAAAATCAAAATATTTTAGTGGATTATTAAAAAGAGAAAGCCAAACCAACCCATTATTAGAAATCGGGCTTGGGTTTGAGTGGTTAATTGTTGTGGTTGAGAATGCTACATCTCTAGTATGATTTCTATCCCTGAACTACCTAAAAATAAAAATAGCCCCAATAATAGAAATGCTAGGAATCTCTACAAAAATGCCTATGCAATACCCTTAATTTGCAAAAACTGTCCAGACATTTGACAGGACCAAAATAGCCTTCATCATTCGCACGTGCATAGATCTACATGCGTGTAAACACTGTAAGTGGGTTCCTCTTTAGGGGTGGGAATGGACCCAGACCCGGACCCGACCCGGTCATGGGTCCAAAAATTGGACCCTGTGGTTCAGGTCCCAATTCAAATCGTGGACCCGAACACTATTTGAGTCTGGGTCCATGTAGACCCGACCCAAATAGTTAGTATTTAAATAATATTTAATATTAATATTTTAATAATATTTAAATAAATATAACTATATATTTTAGTTATAATATTTAAATATAGAAAAGTTTATATAAAGCTGAAGCTCTAAACAATCAAATTAGAAGCCACCTTAAAATTTTCACTAGAAAAGGTTGATTTGATGCCAAAATATCCTCAAATTGATCATCTCGACGCCAAGATGCATGGACATGAGAAAATAATGGATTTCAAGTTTTGAAAATAGTGCATCTGTAGCACGTTTTTTTACCGTCAATTTTCAAGATTTTCAAGTTTTCATGGATTTGCGCGATCTGCAGTATTTTTTAAACTTTAAATTTTATAATTAAAAATGAAAATATATTTTCAGGCTATCACAAAGATTTCTAGTATTGAAACCACATTTCTTGACACTATTTGAAGTTGCGCCTTATTTTGATTGTTTAGAGCCTCGACTCTATACAAACCATACCTTTTAAATAATACATGTATATATTTAATAATATATATATATATATATATATATATATATATATATAGATGAGAGAGGGAAACAATTAAAAATGCCTATAGACGAAATTGAATAGTGTTTCGCCCGGCTATGGACATGCTATGTCCATGGCGGTCTTTGAATCCACGCCGTCTCAAAAAATAGGACTGCGCCGAGCTTATAGGCGAAAATACTGTTCACTTTCACCCATAGGCATTGCGTAGTGTATATATGTATATATATGTTTTTATTTTTATTTTTTTGGTTCGAGTCCAATCGGATCCGAGTTTGGGTCCGATAACTTCGGGCCCAAGTCCCATAAATTTTTTCCAGGCCTTGCCGGAACCGGACCCAACCCGACCAGATGCCACTACTATTCCTCCGATTGTGGATTGGACGGTCTGGATTTCCGTATTGCGTTTATTGGACGGCCGGATCTTGGCGTGGCAGTGTTCTTAAGGAATTCCTGATCTTTCATGCATGATATCTTGGAGTGGTTGTGTTTTCCCTCTCACCTTAAAATCATTTACCAAAGACTATATTTTTGAAACTCATGCAATAATGTGAAGAAAAGGTTGTTTTCATTAGGATGGAATTCCTTCAATAAATAGCACAAAAAAGAGGAAGGTGATAGTAGCTGTTGCTCTAACATAGAAAGGACTACAAGAGTACATAAGCAGCAATCTCAATCTTAATCTCAATCTCAATCTCTCTCTCTCTAAGAAAATGGCCCTCTCTCTCTCTCAAAGAAAATGAGATTCTCTTACACAAATGAAAATGGCTCTCTCTTTCTCTCTCTCTCAAAGAAAATGGCCCTCTCTTTCTCTCTCTCTCAAAGAAAATGGCCCTCTCTCACAAAATGATAATGGCTCTTTCTCTCTCTCTCTCTCTCTCTAAGCTAATGGCCCTCTCTCACAAATGGAAAATGGCTCTCTCTCTCTCTCTCATAGTAATATAATATCATGTTACAATGCATGGGCCCATAGTTTAAGCATGTCAATCTTTTATTCCCTACCTACATAAAGAGCCAAGCATGCCATTCCTTTCTTCCAAAGTCTGACCTAAATCTAG